ATGTTTTCTCCTCAGGTGCAGAATTTTGCACTTACTGAAGTTTCTGAAACAGAAACCTCAGAAAGGTTTCTTTTGCCTAGGCTTTGAGTGTTGCACGGTGTTTCTGAACTGAAGTTCTACCAATCAGCACGGCAGCCGCATCTCCTGATTTTACATCATCTGAAAATCTACTGAGTCTACATTCTGTCCCCTCATATGGGCTGTCGAAGATACTGAACAGTATCTTCAGAGCAGTCCATTGGTTACTGTGCTCATTTCCAACCACCAACTTGACATCAAGACATTGACTCTACTCTTGGAGCTTGGGGGTCTGACCAATTTTCAGCCCACCTACAATCCTTTCCTTCAGCCCATACTTTGTCATATTATAAATGATGATGCTTTTGGAAATAAGTGTCAAAGTCTAACTAAAGTAAAAATATATTGCATTCACTCCTCTCCCTTCATCTGCGTGGCCAGTCATTTCATCATAGCAGACAACCAGATTGGTCAAGCATGCTTTGCTCTTGGTAAGTCCTTGTTGACTTTTCTCAATTATTGTCTTGTCCTTTACATGTTGGAAATTGATTCCAAGAGGACATGCTCTACAATTTTGCCAAGGACTAAGGTGAAGCCAACCATTGTATAGTTTCTTAGATCCTCCTTCTCACTTTTCTTTAATATGGTTGTAAAATTAACCTTTCTCCAGTCATCAAGGGTGTCCTGGAATAGCAGTGATTTTTCATGGATGATAGCCAGTGGTGCTGCAATCACATCGTCAGCTTTTTCAGCACCCATGGGTGTATCCCACGTGGCCCCATGTATTTGAACGCATACTGCTTCTTCAGGTATTCACCAACCTATTGCCCGCCCCCACTCTTAGCTACCCCTCTCCTTCCCAAACTGTACATGCAGAGGTCTGGGAGCAGGCTTGGCCTAAAAAGTGAAAGGCAAAAATGGTATGGAGTGCTGCAGCTTTTTCTGTATCATTGTCGTGGTTTAACCCCAGCCAGCAACTAAGCACCACGCAGCCGCTCACTCACTCCCCCCCCATCCAGTGGGATGGGGGAGAAAATCAGGAAAAGAAGTAAAACTCCTGGGTTGAGATAAGAACGGTTTAATAGAACAGAAAAGAAGAAACTAATAAAGATAACACTAATAAAATGACAACAGTAGTAATAAAAGGATTGAAATGTACAAATGATGCGCAGGGCAATTGCTCACCACCTGCCGACCAACACCCAGCCAGTCCCCAAGCCGCGAATCCCTGCCCCCACTTCCCAGTTCCTAAACTAGATGGGACGTCCCATGGTATGGAATACACTGTTGGCCAGTTTGGGTCAGGTGCCCTGGCTGGGCATGAGAAGCTGAAAAATCCTTGACTATAGTCTAAACACTACTGAGCAACAACTGAAAACATCAGTGTTATCAACATTCTTCACATACTGAACTCAAAACACAGCACTGTACCAGCTACTAGGGAGACAGTTAACTCTATCCCAGCTGAAACCAGGACAATCATCTATCATTATCTTACCTCCCCTAGTAAGGAATAGACCTACATTTTCTTTGAACCTCCTTTTGCTGCTCTTGTACTTGTAAAATTCCTTCTTGTTACCCTTTAATGTCCTCCATTAATTTTAGTTCCATCTGGGTTTTGTTCTTGTGCCCAAACAATGGTTGTGTGCTTGTCTTTTGTTTCCTGTCATTGTTTCTACATATCTGCTCTCCATTTCCACCATTTCCATCTTCATATGTGCTTTTCCCATTTTAGTTCATTAAGAAGCTCCTTACTCACCCAAGTGGACCTTCTGCATACCTTGTCCATATATGCTGCTTCCTCATGTGTTTTGGGTTAGGTCCCTGTTCTATGAGAAAGTCCTCCGCACTCGATGAGCAAGTCTGTTCACAAAGATGTTCTTGCCTGTCTTTGGCAGGTAGACCTATTCCCTAGGTTGTCTTTCCTCCTCAAATTGGGTGCCACAAGCAAAATAGTTGAAGCCCAGCTAGTGCCACCAAATATGTAGCCATATGTGGTCTGCGGGATACATCTGCTGCTATCCAGGCTTTTCCCTTTTGCCATAGGATTAACGAGAAACACTACCAGGATTCCTGTTCCCTTCACCCTTGCTAAGGAGCCCTACAGTCCCTTTTGAACTGAAATGGTTTCACATCACCATGTCATCGGTGTATGCATGAATAAGCAGAAAAAAAATCGGAACATTAGGTGACCCCAAGCAGTCTTTCGGCAACACCACAGATTGAGGCTCCATCCAAGCAAGAAACCTCCCTAGCTGATGAGTCTGGCTGGAAGAGAGTCACCAACCGCTCACTGTCACTCATCACTTTCTCTTGGTAGTGCTCTGATACAGCGTCCAACCTGGATTCTTCCTTTGAGGGAGCTTGTTCTTCCCCTCTGCTGCCTGGGCTGTGCACCACTGGGCAGCCCTCCTGCTGGCCAGAAGTCACAAGCTTCCAGTTTCCACCCCCTTAGGAGTGCATGTCTTCTTCCCACTGCATCTTGCCTCAGTTGTACCTTCCCCATCTGTTGCATAAGCTTTTACACCTTGAAAGATCCTGTCAGTCACCCCCGATGCAATGAAACACACTTGCCACCTCTTGCAGCTTCTCAGCTGCTGCTGCGGTGACTGCAACAGAGCAAACCTCCCTCCAGGGAGGTCACCCTCAGGGGTCCTTGTGCACAGAGGTTGCCACAGCACTGCTGGTGACGGCAGGGGCAGGGCTTATGTCTTGTAGCAAGTCATCACCGTTTGGGTGTTGTCTTCTTATGCAAACAGCACATCTGGGTGTCTCGTGTGTCAAGTGCCAAGTTAACCGTCTTGCTTATTTGCACATCCCGCTGGCAGCGTTCCTTGGTGCCCTTCCTGAGGGTGCCAGAGCAGTCAGGAACGCCAAGTGCATTCACTCAGCCTTGTGCAAGATTTCCCACTTGGCAGAAAACCTCTTGCACTGCCTGTGAGTTCCCAGCCACAGCACCCTCCTTTGTGAGTGCTGGGTATGCTGAACGTTTCTGGCCCCCATGCTGGATCCTAATGAGCTGAAAGAACGGTGGATGTAGTTCACTCAGCACAGGTCTCCCTTGCCAAATGGAGAGGTACTGTTGTACAGTTGAAAAGGTTAGTTTCAGAATCTGCCCAAGTGATAGAGCTGTCTAAAAGCATTTTAAAATCAACTTACTGCAGTTCTGATCTGTGAATAAGAAAAAATAGTCTTGGAAACATGGAAATACTTATTACCAGAAGTTAAATTTGCTTATTCACTTGTAGGAGATAAACTGGGTTTCAATTACTGGCTAATGACTTAAGAATTTGATTGTTATTTTATGGTAAAATACTCAAATATTGTCACCTTTCCCTATCTTACAGCTGCACTTGCAATGCACTGGGAATTTAAAATTTATGGTAGATTATCTCTTGCAATCACTAGCCGTATGCACTAGGAAAAGGTCTTCTTTAAGGGACAGTGCTTGAATAGAAATAGCAGTGCAGATGATAGACTTGTATAGGCTGTGACAGAACTGCAGACTTCGAAAGGGGTTAGTCTTTCAGCAACTATAAGTTGGCAATATAAAATCAATTCCATTGAGGCTTAAGTGGTCAAAGTATAAGGTTGAGTAAAATAAAGTAAGGGCATATTAATTTAAGGAAATAGCAAAGAAAAAATGTTTAATGTGTGTAGATTGTAAGTGTGACAAAAAAGTTATATTGGTAGATCTTGCAAGATGCTACTGTTAAATTTCTTTTTCTTGATCAATTGCTTTTGGATATATGCTATATTAGTGCAAAGTTTCCTTTGCTTGGCTCTGACTCAGTTTCTAATGGAAATTAAGATCACTTGTACCTTTAAATCATGAATGATTCATTCTCTTTGTTCTTGCTGATCAGTTTTGGATTTTATTAATTTGAAAAGTAATTCATACAGTAATGTTCAGCAATCTCCATCAAACAAGTATGATAGAACTGCAAAACTCCTAAGAAAAAGCCAGGAAGCTAAAAAGTTACTTTGCCTTTATCTGCTTGAATTAAATTGCATACTTAAACAAACAAAAAACTGCTTAATACTGTATGTGACTAAGCTTTGAAGGAATTTTTCTAAAGGAATAGTGAACTTCCACCTGCAGTATGGTCTTCGAAGTCAAGACTGGATGCATTTGTAAACTGGCAAAGAAAGGAGTCCAAAGATGAGTTCTTTGGCTGAGGTAGTTCCCATTGCTTACACAGGGCATGTGGCTAGATAATAATGCTTCTCCCGGGCCTTAAAATCAAGAATCTTTTTTTTTAATTAATATTTTAAATTACACTTGATGCATATTTATTAAACATAACCTAATAATTTAGAGTTAGCGCTTTATAATATGTGAGTTGAAAATAGTTTTCACCTAAATCTTGTATAAGACATTGTGTGGAATTGCAGTTGGCTGTGCAGTTTTTTTATACAGATAGAGCATGATGTGTTACAGAAATGAATATGCCAAAATACATGGTAGTAATGCATCCTTGAGGTATGGTATTAGGTCTCATGAAATACATGCCTTGAAATAAAAAAAGGGAATTTTTCTGAGGTTTCAAAGGAATTGCTGTGGAAATTACTCTGCCAGAAATGAAAATTTTTCTCAATTGGTGAGTTTTTTCACCCATTGCTGTGGTACTGTGTTTGCAGAAGCAAAACCAGGTAGCTAATCTGTAAAAGAAATATGAATTGTTAACCTTTCTTGGATCAACATAGGCAGATTTTTATTAGACTTCTTACAAGGTAAACGGGTAGTGTTAATAAATGCTGAAACATTAAAACCGAACCCTTTTTCAATGAAATGACAAAAGAATTTAAAGGTCTTTTGATAAATACAGTTGGAAGGTGATTCTCTTTATTTCCAAAATTTTCTCAAGAGCAAAGGAATAGGAAAAACTAGAAGATATATAAGCATGTCAAGGGTTAGCTTACCAATTTTACTGTGCATCATAAAAAGGTGGGTTTTAATGCTAATAACCTCTTAATTGCAGGAGGAGGAATTGGAGGCCCAGATTTCATTTCTACAAGGACAACTAAATGACTTGGAAGCCATGTGCAAATATTGCGCAAAGATGATGAACACACATCTTGGTAAGTGCAGTACCCTGTATTAACCTGTAAATCTTTGCAAAGGCTTTTTTCATGTTTGTATTAGAACTAAAATAATATTTATGTAGTACAGTGCATATTATTTTATAAGCCATGAAGAAAATTGAATTGATGTACCCAGTTGTTCTATCAGATGCTGCCAAACACTGTATCTTTTTACTGTCATACTTTTAAACTTGGGAGTATGATAGCCACTGATGAAGTTAAAAAAATGTAGAGGCATTTTGGCACAGATGCCCTTTGTCTGTTCCTAAGATTTCTTGTATTGTAAGAGACATGCTGGAGCTCACAGCATGTGAGCTTACACTTTTTAAGCCCATTTGCAGTTCAACAGTCCCAGAATGATACTTGATGCATGCAGTGATAGTTGCATAAAATTCATAATGCTTTCATTAAATGTAGCATCTTCACAGTCTATGCTGATCACCTTCAGTATGTAAAAATGTGTTACTATAGGCTGGCTAGTTTGTAATACTTCACTCAGACCAGGAGAAATATAGTAAGATAGAAGTCAGTACATTGGGAACAGAATCAGCAAAGACTCCAATCTAAAATTCGACTTAGATATTGCCAAGACAAATCAGAGAAAGTAAACAAAAAGCTTAAATCAATTCAGGTGTAAATATGCTTAGCTATGCTTTGATAAAAGCAGAATTTTTAAACTGTTGAACTGAACTCCAAAAGTTAGTATATTTAGTTATGTGAAAAAGCTCTGTTGTTAAAAAATCAGGGCACAACTGCATTGATTTTAAGGTTTATTTGCGGCCTGCAACATCTGAGCAAAATAAATTAAAGGTGAATATTTCAGTGGGTAGAACTAAGTATATGATACCTAAGTTTGCCAGGTCAAAAAGATCAGATGTGAAAGCTACATTATACTTGTATTTTCATTTTCTTTTATGTGAGTGTTTTAGTAGCCACTGTTATGAGCCTAGGAAAAGCTATAAATACTGTGTTATTTGAAAGTTTGGAATCACAGCCTTCAAAAGCCAAGTGTAAACCTCTAACCCCAACAGCTTTAGTCAGATATATTGTATTGCTTCTGTGAGGGCACATGAGCAATGATGACACTTGAAGCAAGCAAAAGGGATAAATTATTACTACTGAAATGATGGGCAAAAGATTACTGTGTCAAGAAGAAAAGCTGAAGTTTCTTTCCTTTAGAAAACAAGACGAGGGCTGCTTAGCCGGGGTATCAGTTCAAGTACAAGCATAAGCATTTCACCAGCTATGGCTCTGGACTAGAGACCAGAATAAGCCCAGACAAAGATACTTGAAGGAGTCTGCTTTTCAGCACTGCATCCATGAAATGAAAGCAAAAGATTTATGATAATATCCAGGTGATAAATTCTTTTCCCCAAATACATTAGAAGCGAAAACATTTAAGGCCCGTAGTCTCCCGGCAGCATTGTGGAGCAGTTTGTTACCCTCGCAGGACAGGGAAGGCCATCGCCTATACAGCTTTGGCTGCAGGGCTGCATCGGGTGCATCGTGGCACCCCTGCAGCGCTCTCAGAGCCTTCCAGCCTAGTTTCTTCTAAGTCCCACTCCCTGTACTTCTTCACAATATTCCTGAGTGTCTTGTCAACATCATGGGCTATTAACTTTGTAAATTTGGATTGCACTGATGTGTTTAAAGCCTGAGATACCACCAACCTTCACAGCTTCTGTGCTTGTAGCAAACTGATGAGGTTGGGTATCCCCAAATCAGCCAGCAGATGATCCACGGGAAGGCAGGAAAAAAACCACCAGGATTCTTGCTGGTCTGACCTGTGCAAAATCCCTTCTGACCTGAAATCTGTCTGTCACGTTCATCCTGGTGATCTGAGCAGCACACACCATCAGGCTGTCCAAGGAAATGGATTCTCTATAACATCATGGAATACCCCCCCAGAATTTTCTCCAGTGTCCATCCACTGCTCGGGGCTGCAGGGAATGGCAGCAAAATAAAACTCAGAGCATATCTGGTCATTTCAGGGTTAAGGGAAAAGTTAGCGGGGGCTGCTACTGCACCTGGTCTGATTCTCCCCCAGGTATCTCTTAGCCATGAAAATTGCTTCAATTCAGAGACTGCAGAGCAGATGAATTATATCGCTCCTCCTGTAATCTGTCGGGACACTTAACTTAAAGGATATTACTTCTTCCTGTGAGGCTGAATTTTTCTGACTTCATCATCCAGCTTTTGGCTCTTGTAGCATTCTTGCTGGCAAGGTTGAAAATCTTCATTTAACTAACTTACCTATACACAGTGATTAAGTAATCTCCCAACACTGTCTTTGCTAGGTAGGACACTTTAAGATTCATTTTATATGGGTTGCTTTTTAGACCCGCTCATTTTTGTGGTCTTCCTTTGAATTCTTCAGGGTTTTCATACGCCTTTTGAAGTGGGTTAATCAGATCAGGATATGCTGTACCAGCACTGGGCTCAGCAAAGTGGTTACTTGGCAAAGGCAAGGTCACCTCTCTACTCTTATGTGGTATTCCTCTTTTTAAACATTTTTAATGCAGCATCACATTACTGCTCTTTCATACAGTGATAGGTTGAGGTGATAATCCATTATGACCTTTAAAATTTGGTGAATCACAGCTTTCTAAACAGAAGATTTTATCCTGTAGGTAAATTCAGGAAATGTTTATTTCTGTATGTGTTCTTTGCATTTGATTATATTAAAATTCACTTCTTGTCATTTGGCTTTTTAACTGAACAATGCAGGTAACTAACTGCAATGTACTCTGTTTTCTTCTACCACTCCAACTGCAGACTTAGCCATCATACATTTAATAGTTGTCTAAATTATTGATAAAAACATACAGATATGTAAAATTTGAGGAGCCTTCCAGAACTAATTCCGTCAAGAAAGAGTTAGACAACATTTTAAAGAATTATCAATAAGTCAGTTTTTAGTCTAAGGCCTGCCTTTTAAATTTGATAAGGTTTAAGATTCTTATTTTTAAATATGCCACATTTTTTTAGATTGACATTTTAAAGTTTTTTCAGACATTATTACTCAACCAATATTCTTTTTTCCTGTATTGACTGCGTTATATTTGCAGGTCACTTTTTAACAAAACAATATTAATTGAAGCTTATAAAAATGCATATCCAGTGACCATTCACAACAGAATTATTTAATTGGGACTATAAATCAGAATGTCAAACAATTATAGAATGTTCTTTTAGTGGTTTCCAGTCAGAATTTTTTGGCCATCTTTTCTCAGGTTCTTTCCCTTCCAAGGGGGATCCTGATGACAGTCAGGGGCAGTTACTTCATGACAGAGATGTTGTGTTGTAGCTCAGAAATGATCAAAATAACCATGAAGTCATCTATTCTGTTTTGAATCCCTAGTTATTTATAATCTATTTATATCAACTCCAGTTATACCAAGTATATTTTCATATGATGTCTTTTTAGAAAATAATTTTGTTTAATTAAAAACTTGGGCAGAATTCTTCTCTTTGCCATATAATGATATCACATTTCTTTACCATGAATATTGTATTTCTGTAAGTTTCATCAGATATCTGCTAACACTGCATTTTCTTTACATAGAGCATGAGGAAAGACCAGAGGGATAGAACAGCAGTTTTTATTTTGTTCATATATTCAAAGATGCTTTCATTAAATGTTTATCTCCTTCCGTAAATAAACCACACAGTGTACCACACAGCAACGACATAATTAACTGCTTGTAATATCAGGGGATGTTACCATGGGAATGAATGATGGTTCTAAAATATTACTACTTAGCGCTACGTGTGGAAATTAGAAATAGGTCTTTGATTATGAAACCGGAGGAAAGCCATTCTGTGATCTTTGTGTCCTTCTTAGGGCTGTGCATTAGAAAGAGCTTTAAGAACTGCTAGGGTGGAATGCCTTTTAATGCCTCCAAGGACAAATGTTGAAATTTTTATATGTAAAAGGGACAGATAGGAAGGCAGATTTTACTTCTGTTCCCACCCTTTTTCACAAGCTCGTCATGGCTTTCAAAAAAAAATTTAAAAAATCCTGAGTTCAGTTTTTCCATTAATGAAATGAAGACACATCCAATCTTGTAAGCCTGTCCTGCGGCTTTGTTCACAATATAAATGCAGAATATTACTCAGCTGATAGTGAAAAAGTATAGTTGCCATAGCTATTACTGCTCCAGCATCATCAGAGATGCATTTTCTTGATGTTACTTTTTCACATACACTGGCCTTTTTCAGGAAATAATATTGTCCCTGGTGCATTCAGTAATATGGTAATGTTCTTCAGCATTTTTCTTTCTGTGAGGTACTTCTCTGTTAGTGCACATAAATACCTCAAGGCTCAATGATTCAGAAAGCCATAACATACCAGTTAAGTATTACAATATTATAACCTGTCATAATGTTATTTACTTTTTGAAGATTTTTTTATTGTTTCCTCCCTTCTTTCACTATGTGGAAATAAAAGCATCAAGCTAGCAAGTGCATTCAGAATAATGTTTTCCCTGGTAAATGTGACCTCTGTCTGATGTCTTAGAGCAGATCATGAATAATTTGTCTAAGAGGCATGCACTCAAACATCACTCAAAAAGCCCCATGGTATCTGCTGGAAGGCTCCTCACTTCTCCTTCACATTTGACATGGAACTGAGTTAGAGGTATTAGTTCAACATGAAGTCAATCTGGAGGGTCTCAAAGAGCAAAGCTTCATTATGGCCCAGGCTCAGGACAGCACAGCACTGTTAAATGGCAGTTCAAGTGATACCAGTTAATGACACTGCCATCTGACACCATATGCTATTCTAGTAGCTTTAGGGTTTGGACCATGTCGGCACTGGCCCAGGATTAAGGCACAGCCTCTTAACAAAAAGTAAATGAAAACCCTGGAGAGCTATCAATCCTCCATAGGCTAGTACTAATATGAGAGATTGTGAAGGATGTTTGTAAGCTTGCCAGTTTTGTTCCAGAGAGAAGAGCGCTGAATTTTAGAATGTCATCTGTTTATAACGAAAAGGA